ATTAATGCTCGACTTGGGCAATAAAAGGCGCCGCTATATTAATTTATTAATTAATCTGCACCCGCCCCTCCTCCTGAATGTTAAATATGACCTTTGATCTCTCTGTCTCCGGCAGACCAGACATACAATATTGAACATGCACGGTCACATTTGGCTTGGGCAGCAACAGAATCGCGAAGTCCGAGTAGCAATTTATTTTATTTTATTCCGCAAAATGAGGGTTATATTTGAGGGGGGAAAAAAAAATCAGTAACTACGCCTCGGGTCCCCTTTTCATGCTCTGGAGATGTATCGATTAAACAATAATGACCTGGTTGGTGGACACTATCATTTCCCCGTTTCTGATGGCTGCAGACCTGGAAAGGGGGCTTGGGGGCGCGAAGAGGTAGCCAGCGAAGAGAGCTTTTGTGGAGAGAAGCCACTTTAACGCTGGGGGGAAATAGGGCAAGAAAATGCGTGTGCTCCTTGAGTTCCCGCATAAAGGGCTAAACGCTAGTATTTTATTCCCTGCCAGATGCATGCTTTCCTACACACGCCTGGCAAAACTAGTTTTATGGAGCAGTTGCTATTAAGGACATGCGGCTGAGTCCGCGTTTGTGGCCCCGGGGGGCTTTTGCTGCCTGCAAATCGCCCGCATCCCCTCGCGAGCCGCGGAGCCCCGGGCAGCCTTTGTATCGGCACCGGCGCCCGCCGCCGCCGCCGCCGCTCTTTATTTGCCCCTTCTTTATTTTCTCCAGTTGAACGAGGCACGTTATTTCCTGACCCAGCCATGGGTGAGGTTTCTCGTTGAGCTTTTACTCTCCCTTAATCTGGATTTGTTTACATAAACCCTGCTTTTTAGCGCGCAGCATCAGGAGGGGGGATGAAGTTTTTGCACTCGGTAGGTTGGGCTGCGAACGGTTCATTAATCTAATTATGATCGTAATTACTGTAATTGATAACCGTTTTGAACTAAACGCACCGGCGTCTCGAAGCTGCGCGCGGCCCCATTAGCGCCTCTGGAGTAAACGTCTCCGATCAACGGCCGTATATCAGAAAAGGTGCTGGAAATACCTAAAGTATCCAGGTAAAGAAGCCGCGAAACAAAGAGGCAGTGTGCAGATCCCGGGGGCTTTTTAAGTTATGTTTACGTTTTGCTCTAGTTCGCGGAGGCTGCAATAGTGCACCTTCCTCGTTGCCAGAAACTAAAACAYCTTCCTTCACCTCCTGGGAGCGGCCTAGGAGGTGAAATAAAAGGGGCGCCACGTCCTCATTGTGCCCGTAAACTTTGCCAAAACAGGAATTCGGTGCACAAATGAATTACAGCAGAAAGGCGCCCTGCCGCGGCGGGGTCGGCCCGCGGGGAGAGCCCCCCCGGCGCCGCCCCCCCTC